AATATAAAATAAAATAAAATAAAATAAAATAAAATAAAATAAAATAAAATAAAATAAAATAAAATAAAATAAAATAAAATAATCAATCATTATGAAAATTCTCCGCAGCAAAAGATTTTCACACGCTTACGTCGAAAGCAAGCGCTAGCAACAAAACAACTACAGCGACAACCAGTCAAGCAGCTTTTTACTGACAATTGTCAATATTAGCTATAACTATTTCTATTGTTTATTGTATTTATTTCAACATTTTGTTTGACTGACACAATTTTAGCGCTGGCTTGTTTTGTTTATTCTCATGCAAGTCTAATTTCAAGCTACAATTAGTAAGCAGAGCATATCTTTACATATATTATTTTCTTCAAAACATATACTTTTAACGATATGTTCACCATTTTAGTGCCCTTAATTTTTTTAAACTACATTTATATACTCCTATTGGACTTGAAATGTAAATGATACATTATATTTGGGAAGCTTTACTGATCAAATCTTTCGCTTATACCCATTTCGAAAACCACAAAAGATCTTTTTAAATAATAAGTAGATCTCAAACGAACTTAGTATTATTTTCTTTGGATAAATGGAAATGGATATCAGTTTTAGCATTAAAACCACAAACCAAAGTCTCAACACCGATTATAAAAAAATATTTTGCTTCTTATTAATTAAGAATTCATGATTAATCAGAATTTCGTTAATAATTTATTTTTATGTGATATAAATAAAAATGTATGTTGTTATAAAGGTTTCATAAAAATTAAGATTGATGCAGTAATGTTGGAAAAATGCAATCAACAAAACAGCATTCCCCTGCTTCTCATATATGTAAATATATATGTATGTTTGTAAAAATATTGTATGACTCCACTTCATTCTGGGAACTCAACAAATTGAAATCTACAAAACACAAAAAAACAAAAAACATCAACTAAAAAATTGGGGAGCTTTTCTTGGAATTCTCTCATGGTACTGTGCGCTGAATTTGTCTACTCGCCACATTTGTATTTTGGAAAATGGCCAAATGTTGACATAATCCCAACAGCCGAAATACATGCATACACATGTGCTAACACTAATACACTTACCTATGGTTTATGTACATACATATGTATTTATGTTCAAATGATTGTATCTATGGGTCGCGCTGAGGCGGTTGAACTCAAATGAGCCGCAATAAATGCCAAAAGGCAACAAATGTTGTCGCAGTATTGCATTTAGCTTTACATACATAAATATTTACAAGAAATTACATTTGGACGTCGATATTGTTGTGAGCGACCGTTGTAGTTCTTGCATGCAAACAATTATACAAATTTAAATAAACTTCGGCAAATAGGGTTTTTGCGGCATTCAATTGTATTATCCTACTCGCTTACTGCCATAACACGTTACCCTCAATTGTAGATGATCTCGTTCATGAGAAATTTTTGCTAAACATTAATTAAAAAAGGGGTAAACTGAAATTATTTTTGAGCAAAAGTATTGCTAATCATAAAATATTTGTTAGGCATAAAACATGTCTAGTCCTAAATTATTTGCTTAGCATAAAATATATGCTGAACATAAAATATTATTGAACCTAAAATAAAATATTGCTAAATATTCTTGAACGTGAAATTGTTTTCAATTACAAAATATGGCCGACATGTATTATGGTTTGGCATAAAATATAGTTTGACATCAAATATTGCTTGAAATTAAATATATTTGGTTAAACATAATATTTTGTCTCAAACAAAGCTTTGCTAAACATAAAATTTTGATAAAAATAAATTATGCTTGAACTTATACATAAGCGTATTATGAAAGATATTGCCTGAACTAAATTAGAAATTTCTAAGCGAAAATAAGATATAATAAGACAAGACAAAATTTTTACTTAACATGAAATGGTTCTTGACATACAATTTTCAATAATTTATTTTTTGTATTATATTGGAGAAATATGGTAGCTACATATGCAGATATATGTTCGTAAATATGTACATACGTATACCCAAAATATTATATCTTCATTACTATCATCATTTACGTTCCATATTGATCTCCATGAATCTAGAAACAAAAATCTATTTTATATATGACAATTTTAGATCTGTGCTTTTGTGTGCCAAATTAGATCAGATCAGATTCTTCTTGTCTTGTTTAAACAAATTTTGTTTCTGAACATACAAATGTGCCTATTTTAAAAAGTTAAAAGCCGTAAATTAAAATCTGTCTGACCCAAATTAGTTTCCGTGTAAAAAATATTGTTTAAAGTAAAATATGGCTGAACATTAATAATGTCTCAACATTAAATATGGCTTAACATAAAATATATCTGCCCACTAAATGTGAATAAACATAAAATTTCACCAAACATAAATTTTAGCAATAAATATTTTTGAAATATATTTTCAAATAAAATGTTTCAATTAAGATATATATTTCGGAAAATTTAATTTCACTGCCACTTTGTTGTCGTTTTAATGAGCTTTAGCCAGATTTTCCAAATGCTTCCGTTGCTACTTAGTAAATTGTTCGTTGTTATTGTTATTGCCAACGATTTGTACATGCTATGCATACAGATGTTTACTACGATAGTTATAGTATATATGTACATATTTATGTAAAGCGATTTGCATACACACATGTATGTATGTAAATATTTTTATTAGTTGTCTTTTGTATGTATATATGTAAGTATGAAAGTGCATGAGTTTGACGCCGTGTGCACTGTGCCATTTCCTACCAATTAAAATTTGTAAGCAGAGTTAATGCGTTTTAGCTGCCCTTTTTTTGTTGCTACTGCAACAACTATTACTAACGCATAGCTTCGTTGCAATGTGCAAATCCTCTACATATCACGTGTGCTCGTATGTATGTAAAAAATTTTTGTATTTGTTGAGTAGGCAAATTTTAAAATATTCATAGAGGCATACAGTTTACTCTGGCTGTTGAACATGATAAATGGCATGCCATAAGTACGACAGTATTTACCAACATATATATCAATATGTATGTATTCAACTTCACACGACTCGCATAAGCAGCCTTTAGTTTAGTCACACCCAATCCAGCGCACGTCAACTCTCCTGCATGAAATCGCAATCAAATAAAGTAGCCTTAATGTCTGCTCGACCCACAGCGTGCAACGACAGCCTACCGCAATGTAATTGTATATGCATACATATGCATGCATATCTGTAGTTGTGAGGCTTTGTACGTTATATAGTGTCGTCGTCACGTTGCTTTAGCGACTCTTTCAACTCGTCCAGCGCCGTCGCGTTCCCCGTTTGTTCTTCTCACAGTGGCTTTTTGTCGTCGACGGGGTAGACAGTTGCTCCTTCGGTTCTACGGTGAATTTTGTCGTAATATGCAAATCATTGTAATATTCAATCAAGCGCCACATTGTATGTCGATATGTAGATATATAGATATGTTAATGCCGGAAAAAGTCAATACTAATGACCCACTCAGTGCTTTTGTCGAAGGAAACTCTGGTAAAATATAAAACATAATCGACAAAATAAATAATGCCACAATAGAATATCTCTTATTTCAATAAGGGTTCCCATATAAATATATATAAAGAGTAACTTATGTATATTTCTGCCACTGATCGTGTTTAAATCATATCGGTATCGTTCAGGCTTAGAAACAGCTGCTTAAAAACTTCGGTCTGGAGAACGCTAATTACATTTCGTAGTATTTTCATCTCGGACCTGTAATGATCTATCGAGTGAGTTTCCTCAACTCTGCCATTAGGTAGAGATCATCTAAAGAAAGTAGTTTCGGATTTCGAAACTTTATAGAGTGGAACAGTTCATACCCAATTTGTAATAACCTCGTTTTTATCGTTCGAAAATTCAGTTACAATATTTTAACGGCTCTCACAATTGCTCTTTAACTGTTATCCAATAAGAGAGTAACCATTACATGAGTATACACTCTCTTTTGCTGAGTTATATCCTCTACCTTTAGGAATTTCCCTCCGAAATGACTAGCTAACAGAAGTTGTGGGACGAGAAGACAATACTTCTTGAACTGATCGTGTTTAAAATATATCAGTTCCACTCCAACTGGCTTAAGGCGAGTGCATAATCAATTATATTTCCTTAGATTCTATAATGATTCTTTAGATCAGTTGCATTTACCTTACTTCCATTTACCGTTTGTCATGAATCATTTGGAGAGATAGCGAGGAGCTCTGGAAAACAAGTTTATCCAACAAGATAGGAGTGCTACATATGTATGTTTATGATATGGAACAATATCTCCTCCGCATCATTTTATGTACACCATTTTCTAAAGAATAAATAGAACTAGTTGGCTCGCTTGCCGGAAAAATCTTTTTACTTATATAATGAGCTTAACTTTAACACTCTTCCATTATAACCTTGACTCTTGTGCCCTTTCACGTTCAATTGGTTCAAATTTTAGATTCCAAGTAAAATATTCGTCTTCAGTTTTCCGTGCATATCGAAGTCATCATAGAAGAAACTTGTAATCTTCGTAAGTACATCGATTTTTCTTTAGACTTTCCATTGCGCAGGAACTTAACTAACCATAGCTGGACCGGAATGCCTTAGGTGCTCTCAAGTTCACAGCTTTTGCTCTCCTTAGGAAAGTAATAACACGTAAATACCTAGACACAACCTTCTCGCAGTCCAAAAAGTTTTTACTTAATCGTCTCTTATGTCGATAAAGAGTGCAAATTCCTTCTGCGTCAGGTAACCGGCCCGTCTTGTTCTTGATTAAAGATCTTATGAGTAGTAAATGCTTTATACTTCATCGGAAGGATAGATTCAGATATTTGCCCTCTTTCAGTGCTCAGGAAAACCCGCTCTTTTCAGCTCTTTACGCACGGATCCCACGCGTGAGACAGCTTCACCCTTCAACAGCGTCAGATAATTTCTATGTATACATATGTACATACATACGTATACTTATCTACTAGAATATATTTGATTATACGTCATTTTTAAATTTTTTAAATATATTCTTTTCTTTTCCAGACACACCACCGCAACTCGAACGACGAACGTGTACCACACCCGCATGAGAGTAATCAATCTGGCAATTATAACCACCACAATGGTCTGCAACATTCTGGTTCACGTTCAACACTGCGACATTCAATGTCGACTACTGCTGCCAGCTCTACACCCGCTTCACCACAACTAAGCGGCATTTCAGCTACAGGAAATGGCGCGCAGCTCATCTCTAATGGCCAGCATTATCAATCACAATCGTCGGTCTCCTCACAAACATCACAGTCGTCGATCGTGTCGACAATACCTGCCTCACAACGTCTGTTGGAGGATGCGCTCGCCAAGACGGCACCCTACCCGATGATCATACTACCACTCAACGGTGGCTATTGGGTCGATGGCACTGAACATGAATGCTCGTTCGATGCACGCGGCAATCCGATGTTGCCACAAACCACCTGGATGGCTAAGTTCGAAACAGACGATACGGCGAAGTGTTATCGACGCTTCTATGCTGCGCGCGAACATTCCAATCTTGTTGGTCAAGATGATGTGTTGGGTCCGATTTTGATTTCGATTAAGACAGAGAATGTGGCAAATCAAGAGCATGCACGCATCCTGCTACGTCTACGCACCGGCACTATGCATGAACTTATACCGATGTCTTGTATGGCGCCCAACCCAACGCCAGCCAAAATGGTACGGCTCTTGAATGATCAAATCACGATGGAGAATTTTGTGCCCGTGTTGTGCTCGAAGGCATCACAGCTGATTGGTGCGTACGATGAACATGTGCTTGTTTCGAATTTCAAATTCGGCGTGCTATACCAAAGATATGGACAGACCACAGAGGAGGAGCTCTTTAGTAATAACAACTCGTCGCCGGCTTTTGAGGAATTCCTCGATGTGCTGGGTCAGCGCATAAAATTGAAGGATCACAAGGGTTATCGTGGCGGTTTGGATATACAGAATGGACATACCGGCGACACCGCCATTTATGAGGTGTTCAAGGAGCGCGAAATCATGTTTCACGTCTCGACAATGCTGCCCTACACCGAGGGCGATCCACAGCAGCTGCAACGTAAGCGACACATTGGCAATGATATTGTCGCCATTGTATTCCAAGAATCGAATACGCCTTTTTCACCCGATATGATCGCCAGTCATTTCCTACACGCTTTCATCGTAGTACAACCGCTCGAACCCAATACGCCGAACACACGTTATAAGGTGAGCGTAACGGCACGCGATGATGTACCCTTTTTCGGACCGACACTACCTAATCCAGCAGTGTTTCGCAAAGGACAAGACTTCAAAGAGTTCATACTCACGAAGTTAATCAACGCTGAGAATGCCTGCTATAAGGCGGAGAAATTCGCGCAGCTCGAATTGCGTACGCGTACGTCGCTGCTACAGAGTCTGGTGGAGGAATTGAAGGAGAAAACACGCGATTTCTTAGGCACAGACTTTACAAACGGGGTGACCGTCAGCCCCACGCCGGAAACACCAAAGTCCGAGAATAGCACAGCGGGTTCGCGTTTCATAGATACTGTTAAGAAAGCGCTCATCTCACGAGTGCGTTCACAGAGTGTCGATACGGGCAATATGGCGCCGAGTGTTGAGAAATTCAACGTATCGACCAAAATGAACTCATCCGCTTCATCGACGACATCGAAGAAGGACAACAGCTTAACGGAGACACCAAATTTGAATGTAAGTTTTTAATTTATCTTCTTTTTTGCATTTAATCTAAACTAATTTGGGTATATTTCTCTCTACTCACAGGCATGCAGTCGCACCGCTTCAAAATCTTCCTCAAAATCAAAATCGTCAAATGACTCCAACTCCTCCTCGCCGGATATAACCTCACGCGGTCCGCTAAGCAGCAGCAATACCATTAACAACAACAACGCCAATATGGCTGTAGTCAGCACAGCCAAGGACATGCAAAATGGGAACAATGCCATAGCACCCACCAATGGTGGCGCTAATGTCGCAACAATGTCCGAGACCAGCGATGACTCGAGCTTAAATAGCGTTGATCTCGATCCCATGATGGGTCAAATTGATGGTGGCGCCGTTTACATTGATAGCGATACGGGGCTAGAGTCCATGTCCTCAGCGGAGGCTATGTCCTCGACAAAAGCTGCGTGCGCGCTCTGTTTGGATGGCTCACAGAGTTTGATGGGCTCATCGCCAAGCAACGAAACAATTGTAATGGTAGAGAGTTTGCGACAGGAAGTAACACGTCTCAAGTGCGATAAACTGGATCTGCTCAGACAGAATGTGGTAAGTTATTGATAACAAATTGCTCTGAGTTGAATTATTGATTAATTTTTAACGACCTTTTCGCAATCTTGCAGACCTGTCAACGCGACATTAAACGCTTGCGCGAGCGTGAACTCTCACTACAAGGCGATTTGGCAGCGGCTGGTAAAGAGATTTTGAGATTACGCGATCTACTCAAGGAGTATATGCCCGATTCGGCGACTGCTCCACTGTCAATTTCACCAATCTAATGTCGTTGTTGCTGCTCGTGTAGTGGAGCTGGAGCTTTACCAAGTGTAGCATGCGCGTGGGCGCAGTAGGTATGTGAATTTGCTAAGCAAATTCCGCACGAAAGGATTCTATGATGGTGCGAGCAAACGAAAATCGAATCGAATGAGGGAAGCACGATCGCGTGCGTGGGGGGAGCCTTTTGTGCCGTGTTAAACACTCGTTTCGGGGAAGTCGGGGAAGTCGGGAGCCAAAGAGCTTGGCTCTTGAAAAACTAAACTGTATTATACATATGTAGCGGAAGAAGAGGAAGAAGAAATAGTAGTGCAGTAGCGTGGCAATAAGGAGTTGTTGTTAATTGTGTGCGAAAAAAATGAAAAAAAAACGGAATGAAAACGAAATGAATTAATTCAAAACAAACAAACACAAAAAGTTACACCAAAAATTTATTAATAAGTTTATTTAAAAACTAAAATCTAAAAACTAAAATAAAAGATAAAAAACAACAGTTATTTAAAAGTAGTGAAATTATTATTAAAAACAAAAAAACAAAATATTAAAAAATATTAAATATCTCACAAAATGAAAACTCAAGCATAGTAGTTATGTATGTGTGTGTATATAAAATATTTATAATTATTATTATAAATTGAATGAAGAAATGTAGGCCAACACAGTGTTGTTGTTGTTGTTGTTGTAGTGAAGGCGTGCTAAGCGTTACGGCGAATCGCGCAAACAGGCGGAAAATTACAAATGGACACAAAAATATTCAAATATTTTAGGGAAATTTTTGAGCTTCAAACAAAATGTTTAAACTTAACGTAGATCACAGAAACATAAAAAAATTAAATAAATACTGAAACAAAAATTACTTTTCATGTCAATTAAAGCAATGATTGAGCTAAATACAATTTTATTTTTCATTAGAAGACACTTTTTATTTATTTTTTTTTTTGTATATTATTTTTATTTTCATTTTACATAAATTATTAAAAAAAAAATTGGAAAATTCTTTTTTTTAACTTTAAAATAAAAAAAACAAAATAAAATCAATTGAATAAAATAAGAAGAAATATGGAAAATTAAATAAAATAAAATAAAATAAAATAAACTAAAATAAAATAAAATAAAATAAAATAAAATAAAATAAAATAAAATAAAATAAAATAAAATAAAATAAGTTAAAATAAAGTAAAATAAAACAGAATAAACATAAAAAATACAATAAAATAAGTTAAACTGAAATAAAAAAATTAAATTCACTAAATTAATTAATCAAAATAAATTAAACTAAAGTAGATATAATTATTTAAAGAAAATAAGGTTTTTTTTTTTATAAATTGTCATAAATGTTCGAGCAAAATGCTGTATACCAAAATGAACGTTCAAGCTTGCACAATTTCACTACAAAAGAAATATTTTTATATTTATAATTAAGTATGTAATTGTAAGTTCTTTTTTATTAAACGCATAAGCAATGGATTATAAGTTAAAAAATAATGCATCTTAATTAAAGGCATGTTTGGTGAATTTCTATTATATTTACATACAGGCCTACGGGTATACAAATTTAAGTGCTTAAGTTTCACTAACTGCTAAATTGAGGTTAGAATCGCTTCGCTTTCGAGTATTTTGCGTAAATTAAAATTTAATTACTATTATTTAATTACGAAATTAAGTGACATTGTAAATATTTTTTTCTTTGCTTTGGAATTATTTATGTAAATAATATATGTGAAGAAAGATATATGAATTATGTTTGACGGGCAATTAAAAGCAAAATTTTGTGTAAAACATTTCATTTCGAAATACTGCTGAAAATCGTTGTTTAATTTTGCGAAAATTCAATGAAACACTTAAAATGAATTTAAAATTTTTACAATTAAAAAATGTTCGAAATTCACAAAACAGCACATTCATATGTATTAATTAATAAAAAAAAACACTCGAAGCGCACTTTTACGCTTTATAACATCTAATAAAGATTCAATACCGAACTGTAAGTCACAAATATCGTTGTTGCAAAAAAAAAAAGAAAAAAAAAACTCACAACAAATGCAAAAGTTGAATACTTAGTGAAAACTAAAAAAATAAACGAAAAGTATTTACGAAACATAATTCATAGAATTACTCATGTTCATGTTAATAAAATATACAAACAAATATTTAATATACAAATATAAATTATACACATACATATAAGAAAAAGAGGAAGTATATTAAAATTTACTTACAAACAACCCACGTTTATGGCACATAAAATGTTATGCTATATACATACATATATGCAAATGTATACATATGTATATAGGCATTTATACTCCATATACAAAATACGATTTATGTATTTCAGTATATATGAAATGTTTTTATTTTCTTACTATTTTCGGTTTTGTTAACAGATTTTTACATTCTTTTTTATGAAGAAATCTTCAAATAATAAATATAATATTATAATACATACATATAAACTATTAATATACATATATGAAGTAAAATAATTTAATAAATATATTATACTATATAACACTTGTAAAAGTATGAGTTTCGTTAATGTGTAAAAGAAGAGGGAAAAAAAGAAGAAGCAGCAAAGTAGAGGGCATGAGTTTTCAACTAAATTTATAACATGCGTTAAAAACACAAATGTTCACTATGCGCATGTGTGCATTGTATGTATGTATACTCGCAAAATACTTACGTCAAATGTAAAAATTCACAAATTATTAAAGGAAAAAGTTAGAAAAAAGCTAATCTACATAGGTACTTCTGAGCATTGAATATATGCACATTCAGCACTTACATACATACATATATAGTATATGAAATGATTACATCAATAAATAAAATATTAAAAGAAAAAAAAATACAAAAACAAATGTCTTTTATATTGATGGATGAGGTGAGGGGTAAAGAAAGAAATAAAATAAAATAATAGAAAAATTAAAGAAAGTTAAGAAAAATTAAAAAGAATGTTTAAAAATAATTTAAAACTATATAAAAAATTATTTAAAAAGTAAAAAAAGGATTAAAAAATCTGTAAAAAAAAATTTTAAAAACTTAAAAAATTTGAATTGCAATTGAAAAAAAATCGCAAAAAGCAAGAAGCAGCTTGGACGAAAAATTCATAGTGGTTTCAAATAAGAGTTTTGAACATTTCAATGTGCATTGCTCGAATATTTACGAAAACAGGGGTTTTGAACAAAAATACTTTGGTTTTTGGCGCATCAACCTTTTTACCGGGGTACAAATTAATTCGGTAGGTTTTCCAAAAGATGGCGCCACTAGCCAGTATTAACCCTAAGTGCTGTTGAATTAGCCCAGTGGTTAATGGTACTAAGTGCCTGATTCGCCAGAGATCCGAAAGTTGCCACACATTGACTGATGATGTTGTTGTTATAACCGAAAAAATAGTTTTTATGGAATGCTGTGGAAGTGATAGTCCTTTGCCGGATAAAATCACGGATCGTTCCGTTATAAAGACCCGACTGTTGCGGGAACTATTGGATTTTAGTAGCCTCTTACGACAGGCAAAACTTCTTTACCTACATTACGTACCGTGGAGAGCTATTTATGTTTATGTGTTTTTTAGCAGTTTTCCAACTACATGTAGAACCTTAGTTCTGAATTCAGATACGCTTCTCAAGTGACTCTTCCAAGTTCAATTGGACCGGTGTATGTCTGCAATCCTGAATATGTCCGCACGGTTCGTGGGAGAGTTGGAAAGAATTCAACAAACATGTGAAGTGTATATTCAAGTGAAAAAGGTTCAATTTCTGGAGACGATCAATACAAAAGTCAAAGTGATTTTCTAGACAATGGAGAAACTCGTGGTGATAATGTGGTTGCCGATGAAAATCGATATTTATTGAATCTCCGGAGGCAACAGAGGCGCCAAAAATTTTCATCGGATTCTGAAAGTGATAGTGAACAAATATTAGAAGACACCGTCACGGCTGTTGATGGAACCGTTTGACAGCAAATTCCAGCCAAAAGAAATATTGTGTCTGGTAAAGTTTCATCCGCATTTTCCGTGATAATAATGGGTGATTTTTTAGCCATTATATTTTTGGCAACACTGGTTTAAACAGCTGACACACGTTTCGTGTTCTGTATCACTGTCAAACATATTCAGTTTGGTTTATTAATTATTGAATTTTATTATCAAAATGCGTGCTCTGTTCCGAAAGTTCACGGCGTGCTTTTTCATCGGAAAATTGCTTTCAGCGACGAAGCTCAGTTTTGGCTTAATGGGTGCAGAATTGTCGATTTTGGAGTGAAGATCAGCCAGAAGCATTGTAAGAGCTACCAATGAATTCAGAAAAAGTCACAGTTTAGTGCGGTTTAGAGGCTGGTGGCATCATTGGATCGTACTTCATCAAAGATGATGCGAATCGTAACGTAAATGTGAATGGTGAGCGCTACCGTGAGATGATATCAAACTTTTTTTTTTGCCCAAAATGCAAGAACTTGACTTGGGTGGCTGGTGGGGTTTTAACAAGACGGTGCCATATGCCACACAGCATGAGTACAATGGACTTGAGAGCCGAGTTCGGTGAACATTTGATTTCACGTTCGGAACCGGTCAATTGGCCTGCTAGATCGTGCGATTTAACGCCCTTAGACTATTCTTTATGGGATTATGTTAAGTCCCGCCCTTTTTCAATTGACGCATTGGAGGACAACATTGAAGCACTTATTCTTGAGATACCGGCCGATATGTTGGAAAGAGTATGCCAAAATTGGACTAAGCGGATGGAAAATTTGAGGCGCAGTCACGGTCAATATTTGCATTAAATAATATTCAAACCTTCAATTATATGGACCGTACTATCGTTTCAAATAAAGATTTCATGCAATTTTCTGAATTTTAAGAGTTTTTTTTTGAAAAACTTATACAGAAGCTTTACAAGTTTTGGGGACTGCATGGGAGCCGCCTATATGAAAATTATTTGCATTCATTGGAGTGTTATATGCACGTGGCGCTTATTAGAGAAAAAATTTATTCATTTCCCACCAGGGGAACTCGAATCCTTTTCTTCGAATCCAATGAGTAGGAACGACTTCTCAGAAATCTTGAGGTTTCTGCGGTTTGATGACAGAAGCTAATGAATCCAACGTTGAGGTGTGGACAAATTTGCTGGGATTTCACCTCGCAATATGTGAAAAAGAAAGGGAATATCAACGCGTCGATTGTTTTTTATAGCAATGAAAAAATGTGGTAAATTTTATACGAAATCAGAAATAATGTTGCAACCTATTTCCTTTAATAAAAGAAAAATTTTGTAAGGAAAACCCCATGTTTTTTCATAAGGGGTTAAAGGACCCCCTTTTGATAAGATTAAGTATAGAAAAAATGCCGGGACGTTTAGTGTTAATGGCCTAGGTGCGCTCGTTGGCGGACCCTCTTTTAACTGACCAAGCAAACAATTCTTCTTTACTAACGTGATTATAAACGAGTTAACAATTCAAAATACTAAGTAAAGTCATAGGCGTAGTACAGCAGATGTACACTCATTGCAAGATCCCTTATGGTGATTGCGCTCACAATCAAATCAACTAAGAGCGTAAACTTATTTTTTTAGTGAGAGCGCTCTGACGTAATTTTGGAAAAACTCTAACATTATCATTTACAGGAATGTGATAACAAAGTTCAGCATCGCATCGTTTTGTGGAAGTCAAGCGCATAAGATTTGCATTATCAAATTTCAGTTTGTAAATTAGTAAAGTTTTGGTGACTGAAAATGGCACAACATCTCTTACTTTTGAGCATATTGCTGTGGCATTATTTTTTCTACACCGTTAAATGTCAGACGCCAATACAAATTAATTCCAAACCATCGGTATTTATTTTAATTAATTGGTTTACCTAAAAAATCAATAAAACTTTTGAAGTTATTTTAAATGTTGCATTTAGTTTTTAAGTTAATTTTTTGTTTTTTCTTTAGCCATTTCACATGTATTTTTGTAACGATGAGCTACTGAAGGAAACAGTCGATAAAGTGGAACAACTTGATCTCAAGTTGGATTACATCACACAACGGTATGAGTTTTATTTAAATACGCTTTAAACATTTATACTTATATATTTTCCCGTTAGTTTGGACGAAGTATTGAGTTCAATACAGGAACCACTTTTGCGCGAAATGAAAAACACTTTGGAATCATTTGAATTCAAAATGGTAGATAACAGGTGAGTAAAAGCTAATATAAAATTCAGCTCCACACTCTCGGATATCGGAGTTGGATTTGGATCCAAGTGTTGGTGGGGTTTTTTGAATTTCGAATATCGCGAATTAAATTTCAATTTGCTTCGACTTGGGATTCTTCCGCTATGCCAATACTCGGCATTCGGATTATTCGGCTGGTGAAATTGCAAAAATATACAAAAACACATCTAAAAAATAATAACAGTATGAACTTGAAGAACTAAAAAAATTAGAAAAAAAAAACAAATGAAAGTGATAATTATATAAATAATTGGCGCTATGTAGCCGCTTAAGCGACTTTTGGCGGAGCTCCTCTGCCAATTTGTGCTGTGTGTCGTCATGTTTCATGTTTTTCCAACAAATATACTTAGCCAATGGATTTTGATGAAGAGCCTTTATTTCATGTCAGAAATACATTCGGAGGGGTTGACATTCCCTGCCGAGGGGCTACCGCAATTAGAGAATTGAAATTAAATTTTTATTATAGGCCTATTCTGTCGATGTAACAAAATTTACTTTGGTAATAAAATTTACCATTCAGTAAATTTTGTTATTTACTATTTCGTATTCTGAGTTCACTGTACCCTTGTAAATTTTGTTACCAGCGAAATAGGAGGTAACAAAAAAAATCTGCTGTTTGATTTTGTGCTGTTAGTTTGAGAAAAATCAAAAAACAAAATGGGTTGGCATATTTGAGGTCTGGAGTTCATTGAAGACGAAGAAAAAAGTGCAAAAAGGCGGTACGCAAAAATTAATGTAAATAAAACGAATAAAAAATTAAGCCCAACGGTTACCCATCTCCCGACCAAACGACACGAGAGACGCCATCTGCATGATGTACGGAATTTGGCGAGTCATAAAAAGCAATAAAGCTTCAAACAATCAAATTCACCAGCTGAAACACACGATTGATTAAGCTGTTAACGAATAATTTTTTTCCATGAAATTCTTTTTTATTATAAAGTTTGAACGTTGACATTCAGTATGTGAAACACTAGATCATATATAAAAGACCGCCTCGCGAATATTTGTAATTTTCGATCGGTTTGAGGTTATGTTCGATCACTTTTTGGCCTATATTGGACGGTATCTCAGCCAAAACTTGGCGAATATTGCTTTTCAAGTGGTAAGGAGTTATCCGCATAAACATGATTCTCCGCGTAGCCCCAGAAAAAATTACCAACGGCATCAAAACGCAAAACCTCTGCGGCCAATTTACATCGCCAAGACCAGAAATTACGCAGCCGGAGAATTTCTCTCGCAAAAAGCCATATTTTCCCATGTTGTGTGGCATGCGGTGCCGGGTCAAAAGTTTATGTTATACGCTCCGAATTGACAGTAACAGTCTCGCCATTTTCGTTTTCAATGAAGTCAGGTTCAATCACACCTCCGGGCCAAAGAGCACAAACAGAGAGTAAGATTTTTTAGGTCTTATGGTCTCTTTTCAAGTATTCGAGAATTCTCCGTGATCCCCAAATGCTTATTTACGTACAGCCCGAGTAAGAAATGTGCCACGTTGATAAGGAAAATTTTGTTCGAAAAATCGCCGACCACAGCTGGGTGTTGTGAAAGGTTAGCTAGCATCAGTTGTTGTGTGAACTGCACTTCATAAGGATGTATTGTAGGTGAAAGATTAAGCATAAGATACGCCATAATTAGCCGTAAGAAAGTTTCTGCTCTTGATAATGTCCAGAAATAGACACATTCGGGTCATTGTCTACACTTTTATCTTCATTAGCGATATTTGAGGTGGAACAATCGAAGCGATGATGCTCTGGTCTTACAATATATGTAATCGATCCATCGAAATTGAATATTTCATTTACCATAGTTGGACTTATCCTTTTATTGACAAATTCGCACCGTTTTATTCGATAACTTTTTGTCATATTGAAGGTAACATCATCAATTCCAAATCAGCCAAATTAGACAGGAACAGATGATAACCACTTGATGACTTGAGTCACTGTCGATGTGTATGGACTGGCGTCGTTTTCGTGAAACACAATTCCACTCCCTTAGGCCAAAGCTTGGCAGTTGCTGGCAGGTCCAAATTAAAAGTCTGCACGTAGAAAAGCAGCTTATAGTTAATAAATCCTCGCTTGGGCACCATTTGTGTTGGCTCACTGATCTTTTACCAAGACTTTTTTCATTACAAATAAGTAGTGAGTCGCAGATGGAAACTCTACGAATACTTTTTTGAAATTTTCCATCACCTAATGGCGAAGGAGATGCTGTATGCCCTCAATAGCTTCACGAGTTGAAGATGGATAGGCTTTCAAAAAGTAAATCTTAGGTTTTCCGAGCGCCAGATGCGACAATTTTGCTTATTAACGTAGCCATCGAAGTGGAAATTCTTACCAGTCAAGATGATTTTTCGATGAAATTCCCGATCATTTTCATACACTTAAAGGAGCCAATTAGAAAAGACGCGTCATAGTTGACGATCGTCCGACTTGAGTTCTTGTGTTAACTGACCTTTATAGGCTTTAAGAACCAAGTCTTTATGCAAAATACTGTGTAACGACGTCAGTGGAATGTTCAATTCCAATGAAGTGCGACAAGGTGCTGCACGACGAACGAAAAAATGACTTAGTTTTACGAATCGGTTCTGTTAGGATGTTCAGTGCCTTGTTGAAGCGTGTATCGTTCCATTTTTATTACTGTCAAATGTCAAAAAATTACAACTTCAAAAGTAACATCCATCGGAATGACAGTCTAATCAAAGCAAAACCTCTGATTTGAAAACCTTTTAGTAGTATATACATACATATATATGATATAAATAACAAATCGCTTCTACCGCAATTACAGTAACCAACGGTTTGAAGTCAGACAGAGACAAGACAAGAAAGCAAGCACTTGTGCAGGAGCAATGATACAGAGGAATGGTACATTTGCCAAGAGTAGCACTTACTATTTGCACATACCAGAATATCTACCACGTCCTTTTGCGGTGTATTGTCTACAAGACCCTGACGGCGGTGAGCCCTGGACTATAATACAACGTCGACTAAATGACAGAACCAATTTCTATCGTGGCTGGAATGAGTACGAACATGGCTTTGGTAATTTGTTTTATAACCACTTCTTAGGTCTCGATAAAATACACGCTCTAACACAATCGCAATCGAATGAGTTGTGGGTGCAATTGGAGAGCTTCTCCAATGAGACAAGTTATGCGAAATACGAAACTTTCGCCATCGATGGTGCTAGCGGAAAGTATGCGCTGAGTGTGTTGGGCAAATATATAGGCACGGCTGGCGATTCTCTACGCTTTCAATGGGGACAAAAGTTCTCAACCAAAGATAGTGATAATGATGTGTCGCCAGAGCATTGTGCCCAGCAGCACAGAGGTGCTTGGTGGTATAAAGACTGTCTGAACAGGTGGAAATACATTAATATTTTTCATAAACAGATGCGATATTTGAAATACAATTTCTTCTTCTACAGTAATCTCAACGGTGAGTATTTGGATGCAAACGAAACTACGAATCTAAATTCCGAAGGTATTATCTGGCAAACGTGGCTTGGGCGACAACATTCATTGCAGTCTGTACACATGGCTATAAGACCGCTAAAGCGGAAAACTTATCTTTGACAAAATCACTATTCTCTTTGTTTAAAGAATAAATAATAAAATATTAAAACTGTTGTTTAATTGTAATAATATCAATAAGCATAATGAGTCGGTCCAATCAAGAACAACTGAGAATATTGTTGATGTAGCCCAAGGTGTTGAGAAAACCCACCTTTGTCCACTCCTCGTCGTTCTTTGGAATTGGGCATTCCACAAATGTCATTAGACCGTATTTTGCGTTCTTATAGCCTATAAAGGTCAGTTGACACAAGAACCCAAGTCGGCCGATCGTCAACAATGAAACGTCGAGAGATGATTAATGACTTTTGGTTGATGGATGGTATTTTTGTGGACACCGTTTGCCTTCAATAAGGCGGCATTACGTGCCCTACAAGCAACGGAACCATAGATCTTTTAATGGAAAAGTTTCCTGAACGTGTCTCTTGAAAAAGAGATCACAATTGGCCACTGAGACCTTTTGATTTAACACCTTGCGGGTTTTTCCACCACGTCTCATGCTCTTCATTTTTTTCCACTAGCGTAAAATTTTGGACAACAACAAATTCTCCGCTCAAGATCACAATTACCGAGCATACGTCTGGAATGTCCGGTCCCTTAAATGGTAAAGTGTCGCCGCCCAGCTGGTTGATGCACTCGAGAAGATATAGGCTGATATCACTGCCATTCAAGAAGTGCGATGAACGGGAAATTTACTTGGTGTTGGATTTCTGTTTGAGTCTCCAGACCGTCACCGAGTACCCAAATTCCCTCCCTGGATGAACGTGCCGATACGATCCATATGTCGATGATATGCGTCATCTTACGACGGAAGGAAAGACGCTTACTATAAAAGCTGTTTTAAAGTTAAGGTGTGCAATGAAGGTATCTTCGGAAAATAATTCAGCCACTCTAAAAAAATACCTCTAAATAGGTTGAGGCTGATCGATTTCGCCGAGGCCTGAAACATTGTTGACTGTAGTGCTAGTTGCCAGCAGGAGAAAATACAACAAACTATCCGGTTCTATCTGGATCGAAAAACTCACAACACATCGATTTTGTTGGTATAGACGGATGACATGTATCCCCATCACATGCCAATGGTATGTATATCAAAGAATATCCAGTAACAATCACAATTAGGTTCGACGTCGAAAAGCTGGAACCACAACAATTAGCCGAACGATATTCTGCTCCTCCAGCTAGTAATTTGCACTTTGATTTTTTTCCAGGAAATGGATGGCTATACAGTCCTAAGCCGCTTTCTAGTCAGAAACAAACTTTGAGGGGCTGTGATCCCTGTTGAGATGTTTGTCAATCAAGGACCTCTTGGCCCTCATCGCGTCCATTTTGTCAGCATTTGTAAGTAATTTGGTTTATGTCGCCCATTACTGATGGTGAAGGTTTTTTGGATTTTTCCGTAACAACTATAGCTTCGTCCTCTGCTTAGACAATTGGTTTGAGGGTTTTCCCTTCGAATTTTCTAAGAAGCTAATTTACTACGAGTGGCCTTAGGAGTGGTGACAGAACACCATTCTGAGGAGTACATCTACAGCTAGCCTTAGCAGACTAGTCGCATTCTTAGTGGATATATATACACCTTTCATGTAACAACAACAAAAACAACAGCATGCTGCGCCTTTTATATGTTAGCCAACGACAGCTCATCCCTAATGTAAGCACAACCAGAATATTTTCTAGCTTTTTTATAAAGAATGCGTTTAGACTATTTGGTCGGTACTTTTTCGTATAGACTGGACATCCCTTGTCCGCCTTTGTTATGAAAACGACCAAGGCCTTTCACCAAAGGACGAGTATAAATGTAGTTTAATCTTAAATATTCCTCGTACATTGTTCTCATGTGCGGCGCTAGCACTTTCACGGCTTGTGTACAAATATAACTAGAGGCCCCGAGGTAGCTTAGGTGCTAGATAAAGAATGATAAATAGACCGTGGAATGCTAGGGGATTGCAATTTTTTTTTTTTTGGGTCTTGCATTTCAAAATTTGTTCTGAATGAACACAATGAAAGGGATGGTAAAGTTAAGCTTGCTAAGTATGAATTTATAACACCTCTTAAATAAATCCCAAATATCATTCCACGACTATGGAGTGCAGGCAGATTTATCAGCTGTAAACGGTTTTTTTAAGAAGGCATCCCAGTTTAATAGTAGGAATTGCTTTTGTAAAGATTCCAAGATATCAGTATACAATTGATAGTGCGGACTCCCGGACAACTGAGACATTTTCCAAAATGAGTGTAACAAGTGAGGTACAAATTTGGTAATATATGGGTCATTGAACTCCTTAACCCAACGTTTAATGAAAACTAAAACGTAATTAGAATTTATTTGGTTTCTAAAATCTAGCTTAGGGTCCATTATGACACCTAAATGGTTGAAGTCAGTAATTTGTTCAACACTGAGATTATGTAACATATAGGCAAAGGATTGAAAAGATTTTCTGAATTTTTCTGATATTACACTAATTTATTTGGGTCAAGTTGCGAAAGTTCATTATCTTAAATAGAACGAACTGGATTAAAGAGCTTGACATCATCTGCGTACATGAGTATTTTAGAATGAAGAACAACATTTGGAAGGTCATTGATGAATATACGGAAGAATAAGAGACGGAGGTGACAGCCGTGAGGAACACCAGATGTTACTGCCATTTCAAGCGATGTTAAAAATTACTTTTTGCTTTCTACCAATCAAGTACTATGAAAACCAATGGAGAAAGGGAGATAGAAACCAAAACTAATCGAGTTTAAAATGAAGTAAAGATTGAGAGACCTTGTCAAATGCTTTGCTGAAGTCAGTGTAGATAACATCTGTATGATAGCAATATTTAAAACCATTACTGACAAGAGTGGTGAATTCTAGTAGGTTCGATAGGGTAGATTTTCCTTTACAAAGCCCATTTTGTGGGGTGTCAATAACTGATGACAAGGAATGGGCTCTGTTATAAAAGCTTCGACGATTTTGGGTAATTTCCTACAGAAGATCCACTACCAGATTTTGTAGAGGTAAGATGTGTGACTCTTCCCACAAAGAAGGGGAGAAATTAAGCTTTAATGAAGCATTAAATATATTCGTTAATGGTGGTGGCCGCGGTAGGCGAGCGGTTAGCATTGCTTACTGGTTCAAATCCCGGTGCCACCAATATCCAAAAAGTTATTGAAAATGAATTAATTAATTAATAGCAGTAAAGACGTCAGATTCCAGGCTGTTATTAATGGAGTATTGCCCCAGGTCTCATTGCAGCAGGAAATGTGGGGGATGTGTGGAGACAGTGAAGCATATAATCTGTGAGTGTCTAGGCTATGCTAACCTTATAAAGAAGGGTTATAGGATTTTCAAACGGCAATGGCCAAGGGACCTAAATGCCTACTTCAATTTGCGAAATGAACAACAATGTTCTTCCCACTATCCTTTTTCTTCTTCTTCTTCTTCTTCTTCATTGGCTTAGGCAGTGCTTCGGTGATTATAGCCAAATCATAAAAATACATTCGCCATTCGTTCCTCCTCTTCGTTCCAACGAAGCGGGTACTGCATCGAATACTTTCAAAGTTTGAGTGCTTCCATTCCTTCCGACTACATGACCTAGTCAGTCTAGCCGCTGCCTCTTCATGAGCGCTAAACTATGTCAATGCCGTTGTATAACTCATACACCATCGTTTGCGTTAACTGTTTGTATTAGCTGTTGACGCAAAGCCCCATAAATCATTAAATTTTTCACTCAAAGACTCCCAAGACGGACTCATAGGATATTGACATCCTCCACGCTTCTACACCGTATGGGACATGCCGGGAATGATGAGAGACTTATAGAGTTTGATTTTTCTTCATCAACATAGGACCTTACTCTTCAATTACCTACCCGGTCGAAAGAAGCATCTGCTTGTAAAAGTCATTCTGTGTTAAAGACAAAACAAGGATAGTGTAAGGGCAGCTTGGTCATATGTAGTGTGTCTGGCAACTCAATGGACGTAATATCGTCTAGGTGAGAGCCACTGTCTCAGCTAGTTAAAACTTCTTCTTTTGGTCCTCTGCTCTTCCTCTGACTCACTTCCTGTATCAAAATCTATTTACTCTCTTCTTTTTCCCATGCAATTTTATAGCAGCTGATGAACAAATCTGTAGCTGTTTAGTGTAAGAGGCAAGTGTAACCGCGACCTTCCGCTATCGGTTTTGGGTTCAGGGCAGCGGACTGTCACTGGTTTTCGGTCACCGGTCTGTTGGATTTTTCGATTTCCCTCAAACGCGCACTTCGGTCGGTTGAGCGGGAGGTGGGTAACGCTGGGTTCGTTATAAAAAAAAATATATATATATATAATTTGGACCAAAGTTAGTATATCATGCAAGTAAAAGTTATAAAAAAATAAAGTATTCACGCTTTAGTTGTTCCATAAATCCGTTTCGAGCCGATTTCTTTGCAATGCTCTCAGTACCAGTTTGTTGCCAATTCTGGGTTAAGTCAAACTAATGCACTCACTCAAAACGCAAAAGTCCCCGTCACACATACGTCCACGCAGAGCTCACAAATATACTTGAGTACAAGATAAGGAAGTCATCAACTGCTGCCGCAAATAAAACAGAAGGAAAGAAGAAGAAGAGAACACTGCGAAATATTGTTCTCAAGTATCTGGTCAGTAGTACTTTATATTAAACAAAATAAATTTTGCTCACAGTTTCAGTTCAATACTCGAAGATGGCATATCTTGCCGTAATAACGTTGCTCACTTTGTCTGCGCTGTGTTTGCATATCGCGACTTGTCTGCCTCAAAATCAATTGAGTAGTAGCGGGAATGTTTCAGTCAGTACATAACTACATATTACACATACATATATGTATATTATTCATAAGAGTTTTATTTGTTATTAAATTGAAATATTTCCCCCTGGCAGCCATTTATCACCTACCTCTGCGATGATGATTTATTAAAAACCACCTCAAACAAAATGGATCTTTTGAATCTCAAATTCGAAAACCACAATTTACGGTAAGACATTAACTAGTGTTTGCATTTTATGGAATATTAAACAATTTTGTGTTTTGAAATATTTTGCTCCTTCAGTCTGCAGAGTGACTTTAACGCTATGAAAAGCAGCTTCTGCGGGAAATAAAGACGAATCTTGAGTTAATGGAATTGAAAGCTAAAAATGTGTGGTATGTATAACTGTAAATTTGTATTACGCATACAGGGTTTTCCAGTAAAAGGTGTTATTTTGATATGCAAAGAAAAATAGATTTTTTTGAAATAAATGATTGGACCCTAAAGGAAGATGTCGAACATCTCTTCGAGAAATAAGTCCGGAAACTTTTCCCTTAAAAGATCAGTGGTTTCGTTGCCTGTGTGCCACATAGCGCCGCATTCTTGAATTTTAACGTTGTCCAGATCAATTCCATCCAATTCCGATCGTCACCGTAGCTGTTGCTTCAGGCTCATTTTCCAGATCTAACAACCCCGCCGGACAATAAGCCGCACCAAACATTTACACGGTAAAGATTGATCAGCTTTTCAACAATAAATCTTGGGTTTTCCGAGCGCCAGATGCGAAAACATTGCTTATTCAAGTAGCCGTAGAGGTGGAAATGGGCTTCATCAGTCAAGATGATTTTACGATGAAATTGCCGTTCATTTTCATGCATTTAAACGGCCCGAGCAGCAAAGACGCGTCATTGTTGACGATCGTCCGACTTGAGTTCTTGTGTTAACTGACCTTTATAGGCTTTAAGAATCCAGTCTTTATGCAAAATACAGTGTAACGACGTCAGTGGAATGTTCAATTCCAATGAAGTGCGACAAGGTGCTGCACGACGAACGAAAAATGACTTAGTTTTACGAATCGGTTCTGTTAGGATGTTCAGTGCCTTGTTGAAGCGTGTATCGTTCCATTTTTATTACTGGCGTAGTTTTTACTTGTCAAATGTCAAAAAATTACAACTACAAATGTAACATCTAATCAAAATATAACCTCTTATTGGAAAACCCTTTACTTAAAAAACTGCACCTAAATCGCCTTTTAATTCAGCACCGAACAGTGCAAGTCAAATGAAGTAATACCACCACCACCGCCACTACTCAAAGCAGCATCAACCTGCGCTGAAGCGATGCTTAAACCAAATGGTGAATATGCCCCGAGTGGTGTGTATGAACTCTACTTACCAGAATATCTACCACAACCATTCCCCGTGTACTGCCTGCAAGACACCGATGGCGGTGGTCCTTGGACCATAATACAACGTCGACAGAATAATGACACAGATTTCTATCGTGGCTGGTATGAGTACGTAAATGGCTTTGGCGATTTGGAGAGCAATTTCTGGTTAGGTCTAGATAAAATATATGCGCTGACACAGTCTCATATGTACAATTTATGGTTCCAATTGGAAAATTTTCAAAATGAGAAACGTTATGCGAAATATGAAAGTTTTGCCATCGATGGTGCTAGCGGAAAGTATGCGCTGAGTGTGTTGGGCGAATTTTCAGGCACAGCCGGTGATTCATTCACACCGCATCGGGGTGAAAAATTCACCACCAAGGATTCTGATAACGACCAATGGGGTGAAAACTGTGCTAAACAGTATACCGGCGCTTGGTGGTATCAAAAATGTCACGCAAGGTATGGTTTTATTTCTAATCTCTAATTTAAATTAAATACTTGAATTAATGGTAACAAACTTCTTTCCTAACAACAGCAATTTGAACGGCTTATATTATGGTGGTGAATTTCCAAAAGACCAATATGCAAAGGGTGTTGTGTGGCACTCGTGGCTGGGACATTATTACTCATTAAAATATGTACATATGGCAATGAGACCACGGAAATTGCTATAAAAGGACATGCGAGTGAAAAGGAATATAATTACAATTTTTAAATTTGATATTGGCCTGTAATATATGAATCCATGACATATACTAATTTTTATGTTTTTATTAAAACAAAAACGAGGAGCAGTCTTTATGACAGATGATCTCAATAGCCTTTTATGACTCGTGTGATCTCGTGTGTGTTGTGTCACGCTGTCATGTTACTTTTGTTCACTATTGTTTGGCGTCTGCGGTAGCCGAGTGGTAAGCGTTGCGTACTGCCATTCGAAAGGCCCGGATTCAACTGCTGGTATGGTCAACACACAAAAGTTATCGAAAATTAATTTAAATAAAAAATTTAGTTAAAGATAAAGACTGAGATGCATGAATACGGCGAGCTTGAGAAGCTGGTCGACAAGGGTAATGCCCGATAATTTTATGAACAGATACCAAGGCTTATAGGTTTCAATACCGGAGCAAACTCTTGTAGGACACAAAGAGGTGATCTAACGGATGGCCAGAGGATACTGAACTTATGGAGGGAACACTTCTCCAGCTTGTTGAATGGCAGAGATAGTGAAACACCCGTATATGGTGAGCCCGAAATCCCACTTAATGACAGTGGAAAAGTCGTTCTACTACCAGACCATGACGAGGTTCGAATAGCGATTGCCCGCTTAAAGAACAACAAAGTGGACGGCAGAGCTATTCAAATATAGCGGTGAGAGCTGACAAGGTGCATGCATCAGCTACTTTGCCCAACGACTGGAATTTAACTGTGCTCTGCCCAATCCATTAGGTATGTTGGAGATTAGTCTGGATAAGTCGAAATTAAGCCGATTCACAATATCCTAAACGTAACTATGCCATTAATACTCAAGTCTCTTGTGTCAGATCGATCTCTTGGTCTGAAATAAACGGAGTGGTTGGGTTCCGGGAATCTCGTTCACGGCAGAGACTTTATAAATTTGTCGACGGGCTCTCAGTGAATGGCATTGGGGTTTCTTCTCTGCCCATCTGTTTTATGGAAATTCTTGAACTTAATTTGCAAACAGCCGTATCAACTTTTAAATGTTTCTCATCTTGTAAATTATGACACTGTACTTCGGATCTCGATAGCGTGCTAAAGGTTATCTTGTTGGATGAAGGAATTGCAATCGTGATGACTCAGAGGGTTTTCAGTTCTATGAGTGAGATATGCAAAAGAGTCCCCAGTATCTTTTGCTTTTCTAAATGCAATTTCAGTGGAGGTTTGTAATGGTGTGTGAAAGCTTTACATTAAACACTTTTTATGGTTTTGGGCAGAGATTACAAAAAAATGTTGGAAAACAACCTCCTTCCTTTTGTCGGGAAGGCAGGGAGGTGGCACTACTTTTCCTACAGGGAAATGTTCACATTCATGTTAGCAATGAAATAAGTCGATGATTAATCTATAGAAACTTCGGACTGCAGCAGACTGTTTCGGACTTAAGAAGTGTTTAGTTTGCAATTAGCCATCAATTTGGCAATACACATTAGCTTACGGATTATATATTCCCGAATGGTCTAACCTGAATGTCAGCCTTTTGAAGAACTTGATCGAATCCCCGTTTTGTGGTTTTCACCTTGAAGTTTTTCCTAACAACAATTTATTACCGTTTCCGAACAGCTGATTTATTTTACTGAGAAGTTTTTTATTTCATGTCGGAAATACGCTCAAATGGCCTGACATTCCTTGCGCAGGGGCGATCGCTATAAGAAAAACATAATTTTGTATATTGGTCGAATCTCGAACGCTGGTCTTCCCAATGGCAGTACGCAATCCCAACCACTCAGCATTTGCAGCGCTCATTGGTAATGACACATGACCAAAAGTCCCAGAGATAAATATTTATTTAGCTAATAATTAGGAGAGTAGAAGGTTAGGTTAGGTTAAGCTGGCTAACCCAGTGGGTGACACATAGACAAAACATACCCATAGTATTGCCAGGTACACCAAATGCGACCAAGCTGCACTGCTACTCAGTCTTAGTGTGAAGAGCACTGCAGTTCTCTTATTCAGCAGTCTGGAGATCGGGCTCCTAACAGATAGGAAACACTTTGTGAGCTTAGTATTGTATGTTTAACTCATAGTTTTCGCTATTCTGCAACCCATAGCTCGTTCCCAGAGTGTATTCGCCTGACGCAGTAGTATTACTTCTAGCTTCTGCTTCACTTCCTTGAATGGAATTGGAAGATTCGCTGCTGCGTCCTGTCCTCCTTAGCAAGTTCGTCAGTTATGTTATTACCTTCAATGCCCGTGTGGTCTTGCACTCTTCAATTTGCAGACAATAAATCTGTTCTTTACATAATGTGACCACAGCTGACATCGTGCTGTATGAAATTAAGGCCTTTATGGTCGCTTGGGAGCCTTCGTTCATTTTAGAACCGTCTGTGAAAGCGAGAAGAGCTTTTTCAACATATTCCAGTCCTTTCCTCTATCGATTTGCCTCTATTGTAGTTGAAAACGGCTTCCTGAAATTCAGGTGCGAGCTTACGTATGTAGTCTATTTGTACTCTCAGAGGTAACGCTCTACTACTATGCCCGTAGGCCCTGGCATTCAGCGGCGGAGAAGCATATAGCTATTACATAATAAACCAAGGGGGGCTTAATGCAGTGTGTCTATTTTATTCTAAACACTACTTTCCCGTTGAAAATATTGGTCGAAATATTTTAAAACAACTGGTGTCGTATGATTATGAGGAAACGATACATTAAAATAAATAAAAATTTATAAATAACAATTTCTAACACCGAACTTGATTTCAGCATCCAAAATTAAGGAAAAACTTCACACATAGATGGCGCCATTAGCGTCAGCATTTTTTCCTACATTCAAACCATCGTTCTTCTGCCATCTTTACATTAAACACATTATCCGTTTCTTCATATTTTGACATTCGTTTGCATCTGTGAGTGTGAGAGAGAGAGAGAGTATAATTGAGGAAAGCGGAAAGTAACAAAGAGCGAAACTGCAACGAAATGCCGACCAAATGACTGGGCGACACACCAATTTCTGCTCGCGCAAAATCACCAAATTTTTATTTGTATCTCGAACATGGTGCGAACAGGTCATGACTGCGGCAATTTAACAAACGGGCAAAGAAAAATATTTTATCTATGCATAGCAAGTTAAAAAAAATGTTGTGTTTGTTAATACTACATTGAAAAACAAATACAAGAATACACTACTTCTGCAGCTACATAAGTGCAAGTGTTTGGAAATTAAAATACATATGTATACAATTTAATTCAATGGAAAAGTATTAAAAAGTTAAATTTATAGCAAGTGTGGCACTAAGTGCTAACAACAAGTAGAAAAAGAAATGAGAATACAAAATAATTAACAAATAAGTTGCTCACAGCGCATTCTATCAGACCTCGATTGAGTGAATTTAGCAGGTGCGGAGAGTTGTGAAAAACATACACACTCATACAATATATATATATATATATACAAAATAAAAAAGAGACATTGTCTAGAGGCAAACGTTTTAGCCGAATATCCCAAAACCAAAAAAGCAAATAAAAAACACAAGTTTAAGTAAGCATAACTTAGTGCGGGGCGTTAAGGTGAGCATGCATATTGAACGAAGTTAGCTGGAACGGCGTTGCGACGTTGACTTTGGCATCGTCGATAACGACTACGAATAGTAGAATACTATGCCTGGCTGGCTGCACGACTACAGCAACAAGCTCAATGAATGAGGCGCACAGTAATTTGCTAATCCATAAAAATATGTGAAAAATCGGCACAAAAAAAAAAACAACAACAAATTACGAGAGCAGCAATTGCGAAAAAAAATGTGTAGAAAATTTGGTCAAAATATTGAATTGTTTGTATAATTTCTACTATGCTAAAGTGTTTTAGTACTTAAACGCGTGTGTGCCTGTGCAAGTGTATTTGCTCTGCTTGCTTATAAAACTAATAATAAATTTTTGCAAAAATTATAAATAAAAAAATTTGATTTACCGACATACATATGTACATGTGTACATACGTGTACGTGCCGTCATATCTACTAATTTGTGTGAAATTATATTAATCACGCGAGAGCAGCTGAATTAAAGAAATCTACATACCTATGCACATACATACATATGTAGCTGATCTCAGCGTATGCAAAGTGATTTGAATTGCCGCTGCCGCCGCTATTTCTTATTGTTACATTTTCGCTGCCTCAACTACTATATACATACATACATATGTAATAACACGCGTCAGATTTTTCCGCCGGCTTGCTGAAATGCATCGGTAAGCGATTGTGATTGCATAGTTCGCTGATGGATTTACAGATTTATTATACCAACAAACAGACAAATATATATATATATATTATATGTACGTATGTGTGCATATAAGTTTGTATCTATTGCTTCGCATCTCTGAGCTCAGAATTTATAGCTTTCTTACCGTTTTCTTATCAATAAAAACCTTTGTACATTAAACCATTTAAATATGTAGGTATTTATCAATATATGCATGTTTGCTTTTATGTAATTTGCGAGCTGATAATCACAAATACACACACACTCATACACATATATATATATACATATATATATATATATATATATATGAACAACGTATAAGAAAATTCTGAGTCCCTGACGATATTTTTATTATTTTCGATTTGATTTGACACAAACAATTTGAGATGGAAGGACTATTTTGACCCGAAAATCTGGTACATTGGATCAAAGGATAAGTTCACACCGACACACAGAAGCGACTAATGGGCTCACCAGAGTCTTTTGCAGCGTCCGTTCACCTGAGGTGAGATTGCGAGCTGCTCGCAAGCAACTAAGTTTGGGACAAATAAAAATTCTGTTTTAATGGAAAAAAATACATAAATTAACAAAGCCTCCCGCGAATTTGACGCCAGTGTAGTCATAGCCTATTTACTCTTTGGCGGTCAAAAAATTCAGTTCTTAAAACAAAACTTCTACCATTAGCTGAAACTGGTCGACTTTACCGGCGCTCGAAATATGGGTTTTACAAAACGAGGTGCTATTTCAACATGCATGACATTTTTTGAGACAATTGATCGGATGTCTATTCAATGTAAAGCGAAATAAATGCAATTAAGAAAGGAAATCAATATCAGCCACACTCCGTATACTTTTTATGGAAATTTCCATCACAAAATCCAAAGTGGCTGCTGTACACCCTCAAAAGATTCACGAATTCCTCTTTGTGACCTTGAATCGAGGGTGGCCTTAGGCGTAGACCTTATCTTTCATGTGGGCCCAAGGGAATAAGTCGCAAGGTGTTAAATCACAAGATCTCGGTCGCCAGTTGCCATCACTTCTTCGAGAGATAACACGGTCCGTAAATTTTTCTCTTAAAAGATTATTGGTTTCGTTGCTTGTATAGCACATATCACCCTCTTGTTGAAAGTAAATGACGATCAGATTAATTGCAGTTAACTTCATGCATAAAAAAATATTAACCATCTGCCGATAGCGCAATCCATTTACTGTAACTGTTGCTCTAGCCTCATTTTCCAAAAAGTAGGGTCTAATGACCTCGCCTGACCATAAACCCCACCACGTTGCAAGTATGAATAAACGTTTCAATATAAATTTTAGGTTTTTCGAGTCCCAAATGTGACAGTTTTCTTATTGAGGTAGCCATCGAGGTGGAAATGGGCCCCATCAGTCAAAATGATTCTTCCATGGAATTTCGGATGATTTAAATACATTTAAAGGGCCCAATCAGCAAAGACGCATCATTGTTGACGATCGTCCGACTTGAGTTCTTATGTTAACTGGCCTTTATAGGCCTTAAGATCCAAATCTATGAGCAAAATACGGAGCAATGACGTTTGTGGAATGCCCAATTCCAAAGAACAACGAGGAAGCGTGGCTGATTTTCTTCAACACTTAAACTAGAGCAGCAATATTCTCAATTGTTTTTTAGCGACGGGCATGTGCTTTATTTTTCACATCACTAACTTGTCCCAGAAGCTCCGTATGTTCCATCAATTTCTATATTGCGGTCCGACAAGGTGCTGCACGACGACCGAAAAATGATTTGGTTTTACGAGCCGTCTCTGCCAGGTTTTCACCAATTGTATAGTGAATTTTATTTACAGTTTGTGCAAGGCAACTTATTGGAAAAAAATTTAGGTATGAAAAGTATTATTAAGCAGCGTGACTGTCTGTGCTTTCAAGAACTTTTAGTCAAATCAATCATATCCCGATATTCGGGAAAGATGTTTCTAGTGTTCTAAATGTGTGAGGTCCATATTGGTTGCTGAGAAAACGTAATCACCATAGAATCAAAAACGAGATATTTACTTTCACTGCCAGAAGGTGTTTTGCCTGTCCTGCACAACAGCACTCATGAGCAATTCGATACAATGCAACCGCAAAACAGCATTTCAAATTCCCCACACACAGAAGCCAACGAAACTATTATTTGTTCAAAAGAAGAGTTGGAGCAAGGAAGTTTTTCCCACCACAATAGAGAGTTAAATACTGTTTATCTTGCGACAGTGAAAACGGACGTGATTCGTGCCGTGTTATGCTGCAACTGCCCATCTTACATACGTCACAGCCGCACCACCCGACTAGAGAGAAGTCAGTATCGGCATCGGCAATCGGTAACAACTTTTCATTTACATGGCGCTCTCATATGATAGGAAGCTATGGTTGGGAGGTATATAAGATGGGTATTTGCAGCATTAGTGAGATACCGAGAGTTGAAGAACAAAACGATTTAAGAACAGATAGGAGTAAAATAGAAAGAGTACATTAGGAGCTTAAGAAACTGATTGACAGGGGTAATACTTGAAAGTAAAGCAGAAGTTTTCTAGACCAAAAAAATACTGATGGTTAGCTCCAAAAGATGAACTGTCAAGGGTAAACTGCCCTTGTAGAGAGAGAACTTCTCCTGCTTGAATATAAAATCCTTGGAGACGCCGAACCCAGGCCTCAATAAAATCTACCATCCACTTACGCTGTGCCAAATCCATAATAAAAGGGTCCTTACCTTCTGTGCCAATTACCGTAGGATAAGCTTTTCCTCAGTAACGCATATAAGATCTAATCTGTTTGTGAAAGATCAAATCCCATATTCAATGAGCGGATCTGACTAAGTCACCGAAGTCATCTCACGGGAGATCCAGAAAATGTGCTGTTTCAAAGGAATCATATCCGTGCTACTATATTGTGCAGAGGCGTAGACGATGTCGACATCTGAGTCGACAGGAGTCGGCTTTGGGAGTTTTCGACAGAATAATTTTGCGAACGGTTTATGATCGTTTGCGCATTGACGAACGAAGAGACAGGCCATGTCATGCGAATGGATAAAAGCACTCCAGCATTGGAAGAATTCGATGCAGTACCCATCAGGTAGAGAGCGACTTTCCCTTGGTATTTCTAACTGGCGCCAAACAAAGATACGAATGGCGCGATATTGTTGATTCGGTTCGCCAATAAAGAAGAAGAAGAAGTAGAAGACCATGATTTCGTTGGCTAAGTCGTGTCATCCGGATGAACGATAAACCTTTTGTTCTGAAAATGCTCGATGCAAAAGAGATGAAGAAAAAGATCTTCCATCCGTTGGAAGGTTCTAGTGGTGTAGGACTAAATATCCGGCTCATTGACGCCAACCGGCTAAGAGAAGAAAGAACTGCCGCGATATTGTCGATTAGACCAACTGCGGCTAAATTATGAATTTAGCAAATAATTTAGCTAATAAATTGTATACAAATGTATGCCACTGAACCGAACAATTAAAGACGAGGCAGGATGTGGTATATACAATTACTCTAGAAAAGTATTGTTTTACGAAAGATTTTTTAGAAATAAACATTTCACCGATTTTAAGCACTTTACTCGCTGTTGAACTACATAATTTTAGAAATTAATGAAAAACAGCACACTCAAAGCACCCAACACCACATACAAACACAACACACATACAAACCGTATATCTTACATTCATATACATGTACACACATGCATACGAGTGTGCTCCTACCGATGCTCCCTCAATTGTTTGCTCGCACTGCTCATGCACCTCCGCCTCAGCACACTTGTGTTTGTAAACAATCTGTCCTGGGCTGGTCTGGTCTGGTGAATGTAGCTGAATGGAAAGAGCGTTCGGCGTTTAATAATAATAACAATTAAGCCAACAAAAACAACATTGTTTTGTGTATGTGTGTTTGCATGTGCGGTGGTTCCATAATAACAACAATGAATGAATAACAGCACGAAAATTTCACATCAAACGCATTCCACAAGTAATTTATTTGCCCACCAGAAAACAAGTTACCTGGCGATTATCCCTCTATCTTGCTTCCGCGCACCCTCCCACACACACACAAATACCCTATTTTGGTATCAGTCTTGTATGTTATTATATGCTATTTGTACAGTCAGACAGAGGCAAGACTTTGTCGGTGTATGGGTGGACATCTTTTTCTAAGCAAGCTGCCAAATGAAATGGTGGTTTTCTGATAGATTCCAAAATATCGAGGAATAGAAAATACTACGAGTTCGTTTTTAAAAATTTTGTTGCGTGAGTAGAAGGCATAACCAGTGTTGAACATAATTTCCAATATATATTGGTTGGCCAACTGAAGTTTGCTTTGGTCTGACTCCCGGTTCAAGAATTTATATGAGTACGTAAAGAGTGGGATGCCGCAAAGTCCAAGGATGTAATATTTACAGATTATGTGTGATCATTAAAATTCAAAGCCATTCAAATTCTCGACATTAGAGAAAGTCAGAAAAACCTTAAAATGTTCGAGTTCCTTCTCTTATAAAGGGTTTTCCAATAAGAGGTGTTATTAATGGCATATCGTCCTCTTTGCATTGAAATAATCATCCGATCGTGTGTCTCAAAAAATACTGTTTTTCTAGAAATATCTAAGTCACACTTTCTTATTTGACGGTTGGGGTGATCCCAACGAGGAGAGCGACTTGGTGATAGAAATTTTTTTAGCCAATTGATTTAGGTAGGTTAAACTGATTGGCTGCTATGTAGTACATAGATCTATTAGTCCTTTACGGTGGCAGATAGAGACAAAGTACTACAGCTTATTTGAGCTGATTAAGTTACGCTCGAAGAAATTTGGGAAATATTAAAAACTTACTTTTAAAATGGGTAGTGCATTCAACCGCAACTGCAGGCAAAAATCTGCACGACATTCGGGCAAAATGACACGCTTTCCAGATGGACTGAAAACAACTCGTGTACGTGCTCGTCCAGTGCGTTGCTGCAGGTTAAAGGAATTTAACATT